ACTAAAGTATTTGCAAAATTCCTTTTCTATAGCAAGGAGGAAAAAAACCTAAGTTGATAATTTTTAAGTTAATGAATATTATGCACTTCATTGATATCAATAATTTTTAAAAGTTTAACTCGTGTTGTTTATACACATTTATTTACGACAATCACTTCATTTGACAAAATTTGGATAAGATAAAATTGATATGAATTACAAGTTAATTATTAAAAAATCAAATTATATTTTTTTTAGTTCAACAACATAACAATATACGAAGATATACATGAGAGTTGAAGATATATATACATATATCTTAGCTAATTGCATGTTGACAAAATCAAAATAGATATGAGTCTAATGAGATGGACGAATCAAAATTATGTTGCATAAAAAAAAGTTAAAATTATGCTCAAAATGAGATTGGTAGACCCATTCTTTTTCTTTATTACGGTTCTTTGAATAAAATAAAATGTTAGATCACAATTTTTTTTAATTTATTAATATGAGGTAAGAATTCGAATATTCTACTTTTTGGTACATAATATATGTCCTAACCATTTTCCAGTTAGAAAGATGATCTCAKATATATATCTTGAAAAAAACGTAAAACTACTCATTTTTCTTTTATTCTCAAAATGTTGCTTTAGAGTTTGAAAACGTTTTATAAATTACTAAATTTTGAAAAGGGGGCTTATTTATTGCAATTAAAAAAGCATTGACGATTGAACTAAAACCTACCTGCCATATACATAGAGACGGTGCTGTGTTTAAAATTTAATTGGGATTAATTTCTCGAATAAATTAAGTTTTGGAGTAATTGGGTGATGGAAAGACTAAAATGCCCTTTTGTGTTATTATGCTAGCGGATCGGCGATTGCATTTGCATTGCGGAGACAATCGTGTCGATTCCAACGTCTTTTCACGTTGAACAAAGCACCACGCGCGTGTAATATGTATGGTGGTGGATAAGCAGCAGATGACATCTCATCACAAAACAAAAACTACTAAAATCCACAATTCTTCTCTTTATTTTATTTTTTGTTTTCATCTTCACAAACTCCACACTTTCTTAACATATATATTGTTTCAAGTGTCTTTTGGGAACATTTTACTGGATAAATCTTCTCAATTTATATTATTTGATTCTCTAGTTGAATTACGATTAACCTATTTTTTTTAGTGTCAAGTTTAATTAAGAAGGTTGAGGGTGAAATCTGGACAGGTGACGTGACAACTGATATTAGAGACGGCAGATCGTATGGAGCATACGACTAAAGAAGGACGAAGCCTGCGTGCCAGTTACGGCGAGCACCATCGAGCCACGTACAGAACGTCCTTCTCGATCGGCCATAAGAGCACCTATAAAAAGGAAGAACCACCGTGACTATGGCGTAACTAAAAAATCTACCATTAATTTCTCAACGTGTTATCTACCATATTTCTTTTCAATTATTAATTTTATATTATAGACTATTAGATGGGACACTGTATCAGTATCGATAATTACTGTTGTAGTTTCATTTGTTCGACAACACTCRTTTGAAAGACACGTGGACTTCTCCCAAACTCTCAGTGAATCAACTATATCAATATGTTTACCACGATACATTATCTTTTTCAAACAATATGTCAAAACTTCCTCGGTAAACCACATCATCTTATTTATTCTAGTAGTTTATTTTTTTTTTTTTGGATTAGTTAAAGACAAATTTTAGTGTAACTAAAAAAAGATAAATACAAATGTTTAGACTAAATTTACAATTTAATTGTTTTACTTAAAAGAAAACAACGTAAATTAATTTTTTTAAGAAAAAATAACGTAAATTCCGAGTCTGACCTCCACAAATTTTCTTAAGCCGGATGAGTCGGCATTCGATTGGGCATAATCTGGAGTGTTGACACGTGGTTCAACAGTAGAGCGCCATCTTATGCGCACGAGACGAACAAAAAATTTCTCCCGCTTTGACCTGACTCATCAAGCCTATCAATGTCTGCCACGTGTGGTGCATGGAGCTCGGTCCTCCAAATGTAGCAGTTCCATCTAAAAGAACTACAGTGTGCCACGTAAGAGAGAAGTTGATCAAATCTTCACCGTTGGATTAAAACTACGATCTTCAGCGAACGACACCGCCTGTTGGAGCCTTTTGCCTTTTTTTTATTGRAAAATCTTGAAGGAGTTTTTTAATATAAAAACATGCGTGGCGGCTGGAGCCGTTTAATAATTTACGTTTTTTCCTTTTTTAATTATTATTTTTTAAATACGGGAAAAAATGCTTTAATAAATGAGCTATGATCAGGTGCGGAAAAAATACTATTGGCATGGATGTCCTTGCACGTGATGACCACTAGAAGATAGGAGAGTTTTTTCTTTTTATAATATATATTAGTTTTATTTTTATTTTTTTAATATTACAAATTTACCGTTCAGAAACGAGGATGGCTCGTTGGGTTTAGAATATAGTGAGACACTCAATTCATATCTTATGTGGCCATTATAGAATTGAGACAATTTAGTTTATATTTGAAAGGTTTTGCACAACACCTCAACGTTGACTCTAATTTACCCCTCGAGTTTATAGTATATATATTCTAAGGATGTCGAGTTGTTCATTCATTAAGTTTGTGGTCAAAACATGCTAACATAATTTGGGTCGTTTCTAGATGTGAGTATTGTAGCATTGAAAGGCAACTCTATACATCTATATATTGAAAAGACGACCATTTACTATTTCTTAAAATTATGGAGCCAGAGGTGCTAAAGAGACGTATTAATAATGACGGCTTTGTACCTATTTTTCATGAACTTGTCTATTGCTTCAATAAAACAAACCTAACTTAATTTCATTCTAACTTCCTTTTGGTGGTACTAAAAAAAACTTCCTTAAAGAAGCAATTATCCTTTTGGGCGAAGCAACTTCTTTCTTAGGAGGAAATATAAATGCTCCTTTTCCCTTTCTTTATCTTAAGGTTTCTTTATTGTGAACACAACACTTTTCTTTTCTTTTTTGTTTTTTTTTTGTCTGTTATTTACAAGTTTGCAAATTAATAATTAGTAGGTCTAAAATAACCTATGAATAATGTATAAATGGAAACTTTAGCATAGTCTTAAGTGGTTGGACATTTGTATGTGCCGATTAAGGATTTTGAATAACTCATGACACTCATTTGTAATGTGACGTATTATTATAAAAAATTAATATACACGTTTATAATTATTTTTATTTAGATTGAAGCTTTTAATTTCTACTCTCACAATTGTATTAAAATGAACAAAAAAGTAATCAGTCATAAAAAAATTTCAATGGTTTTATGGGGATATTGAAGGGGAAAAAGTATTTAAAACTGTGTATACGTATGTATGTATATATATATGTGTATAAATACTCAAGTGGAACCGGAAAATGTAAATTGGTCATTTTCGACGATGTCTGAACAAATCAAAGTTGTATGAAACAGTGGATGCTAATGGGCCCAAAAGTTGCAATTATCTTGGTGATCCGGAAGCTGGCCCAATTTCGTGTTGGGCTGAAAAGGTGATCACGGCCCACAAGTAGGGAAACTTGTACAGTAATTGCAAATTTGTAAATTTTTACTTAGTTTATAAAAAGAGAGATATTCATGTAATATGATATGATAACAGATATGCTCCTAATAATCTGAAAGGGGGCATGTCTTATAAATAATTAACTCACATAGATTTAGATAACCATTTTAAACTATAAATAATGACTTTACATTGGCATTTATTCCTTTTATATTTCATTTAATTTGATCATGTGATTGTAGTTCTAAATATAAACTAAAGCAAGAATATATAATAAATGGGTTAAATTTTGAAACATAAATTGATTGCGTTGGTTGAATGCGAGTATCATGTTTCATATATATGAGCCAGGTTTGGTTTTAGTGCCTGAACTCAGAGTGAGGTAGCGTATAACTTTTGAATAAATGTAAAATATTTTGTTTAAATAAAAAGTTTTAATTTTTAAATTAAATATTTAAAATTTGTTGTGTTATATTTATTTTTAAAATTTATTATGAATTTTATAAGGTAAAAATGATAAAATAGTGAATTTGTTTATGTTTTGAAAAAAAAAAAGAAACGACAACCATAAACAAAAAATTTAATTTTGTTGTTTCCAAAATTTCTACGTAATTTTGAAAACGTTTCTTAAGAACGAGAAACTAAAATATAAACAATTACCAAACCTTTATGCTTCTTGAAAATTTCAAATGGGATAAAAGAATCCATTTGTTAATGTTTCCATTTCTTGTTTTCATTTACAACTTCATTAATAGATATAAACATTTGACAATTATTTATATTTTTTGTTTCTAATTTTTTAGACGTTCTCAACATTATACAAGTTTTGGAAACAACGGACTTGTTTGGTAACGTTCATATTTATTGTTTTTCATTTTCCATTTTTATTAAGGAACCTAAAATTTTGCAACTATTTATGTTCTTTCATTTCTCATTTTTAGAAACATTATCAAAATTGTATAGAAATTTTAGATGCAACAGAAATAATTTTTTTTTCTTGTTTCTATTTCCAATTTTTTTCAAACATAAATAGAATTATTGTTTTATCATTATTTAATCAGTGAGGTATATAATTCTATTTTTCTCTATTAAAAAAATAAACAGAAATAAGAAACATTAACGTCAACAACGAGTCAAACAAAAATAAGTTCCTTGTATTTTGTTCACCTTTACAATTTATTTCAACATAAATCAAAATCTTATTTTTATCATTTTTGAATATGTGAGAACAACGCATGCAATTCCATGCTTCGTTATTAGGCCCTAAATTTTTCCATCTTAGTTTAGGCTATAACATTTAAATTTTGTTGGCTAGATATGCTGAGATTAACATTCATTTTATTTTAGCTGAATGATCCAATATTCCAACATCGCAAATTACAATGCCTTGAAAAACATATATATATATATATATTTTGTTTTTTTGTTTTTTTCCTTTTTGGTGGGAAAAAGTAATTTGGTTTGATCGAAATTTGGCTAGGGCGCGGCTGGTTTATCGAGGGTCATGGAATCGGGATTGGCAATGGTCAGTTAGGAAGGATCGCCATTGAAGACAAAAAAGACAGCTCAAAAAGCCAGCAGCCAGAAAGAGAGGCAAAAAGATGAAGCACACATACATTTCGAAGCTCAATTTCAATACAACTTATATAGATCGCTGCCACTCGCTCTACTATGGCCGAGCCGAATCGTCCGAGTCAAGAACGAGCGCGAGTTCAATTCTAACCTGGAAGGAGCAGATCGCAATCACTTGGCTGAAATTCGAAGCAACCAAACAAAACAAACATCGCGAGTTGAATTGAATTCTGAATTCAATTCAATTCAATTATGGCGGATGCAGGGGTTGGATTTGCCTTGTGTAAGGAGCTTTTGCATTTAGTAGGCATGGCCGAGTCCGAGTGTAATGTCCTTTCCCTTCCCGCGGCTGCAAATTCATTTAATAATTTGAATGGGAAACAGCTTGTCCTCCACTTTGGTAGGTATGTAGATTTACTTTCGAAATCAAAAATCAAAAGTGCTTTCTCTCATTGTCATTCATCACCACTCCACATCCACTGCCTCTTAATTTCACTCATACGAGATGATTGCTTCTGTGTTTTCTTTTTAACACACTACTCGAATTTCAAAACTGCGACCCAAATCGCTCTTTATTCACGCTTTTGTCAGCCACAGTTGACTAAAGCAATTTTACAATACCATTTTTTGTTTACTTTTCTTTCAAATTACTGACTTTACATTTTCTTTCTTTGTATATTTCAACAGCATTGGCACGAGTTGAAAGGTTTTCCTTGTCTTATAGTGCGAATGTGATCAACTCAAACTAGAGAACGCAGAAGAAAGTTCCTGTTCCTTCTGTATCCGGGCAATCGTTGACTTGTAAGGGAGGGACTTGGGAGGATGATTTCAAACTGGGCCCTGCCTTGTTAAGTTATTACTTCTCGTTGGAAGTTGCTCATTATTTTAATGTTTTGGCATAAAATGTGAGATTCTGGACAACTTAAAGATTAGAAGAAAATCATCTGTGTTCACACGTTGGAGGGAAACTAACAGGGGCGGGCTGATTTCATACTTATTGTGAATTGTACAGACTCAGATTTCCAGACCTGTGCTTTGACTTTGAAGACAAATTTGTACAGAGCCGAAAGGAAAAGAAAGGTTAAAAAAATCCCAGAAAGAAAGAATAGTCATTGCAACCTTGGATTCTTGCTTGCGAAGATAAGTTTGATGGCTTTCTTTTGAGAGAGAGAATTGGAGAATGCACGGTGGAATTGATGTTTTGTGGGCTCGGTCGATGACTTTTCATGGGGAAAAAGGTTCTACTTTTCTTTATTGATGTTCTGATCGCATTAGCTCTCCTCTATGATGCTCCTGTGGGTTTCTTTTTTCTTCTTCTTTAGCTTTGGTAATCATACAATTTCGCTGCATTATGATGTCTACTTATAGTGAATTCGAATTCATTTTGTCACTGCTTATGTTTTTCTCGATAATTTTCCCCATTTTCTTGTTCTTCACCTGTTATGGGGTTCTTTCGTGCTTAATATTTGTTATTTGCCAGGTAAGTCGCAGAAAGTTATTGGAAAAATTGATGGGTTCGTATATGCTACTACTTGGTATTTTAGAAGAAGTAATCGACACGAAAAGAACTGGAAACTGATATTTGGGAATTGACTCGACTCTTCTCAACTTATAAACCATTCATTTTTCAAAATTGCCAGAACGCTTTGTGTTTTGCATTTTTCACTTTGCCGATTGAATCTTGTAGTACAAGGCTTTATTGACTGGAATTGGGTGTTCAATTTTTTGTAATCTGCTCTAATTTCGAGCTGTGTGCCTTCTTACAGAACCTTGTTTGAATGAAGGCCTGATCATTTTTCCACTTTTATTCCATTTGTTTTTTGCAGATCTTCAGGTGGAATGAGCCAGCATGAGAACAAAGGCGAAGGCCTGGACTAAGAAGCAAATTTTTGGCCTCAAGAGTAAATTTAGGAAGATGATTAATTGTATCCGTTCGGGGGATCAGTTAAGAGTAGATGAAATGATGCATTCATCAGATTCTCTGGCAACTCGAGACTATTCAGCCAGTGGTTTTTCATCCCGAACTGGGGAGGTGGAACCAAAGGTGGACAATGGCAACATTGAAGAAGCTGAATCATCTCTTCGTGAGAGTGGCTATCTGAATTATGAGGTTTGTCTCTTGTCAATTATGAAGTCACTGTATTAAGGAAAGAGGCAAGAAATTACTGTGTTCTTGTATAGGATTAGCTCATTGTTCTTTTTGTTGGGGAAATATCCTGAAAGAAATACTTTCACGAGCAGATGCATCAATTACGTAATATGTCTTCTTCACTCGGAAGATTTATTCACAATTTAGCATATTGAGATATTTAACTGAACTAAAGATAGTCTGTGCAAATTCTTCAAATTGCTTATAGATTCAATCCCCCTGGATGCAGTCATTTGACCACGTATGATGCTATGGGCCAATGCAATCGAAATTAATGTGTTTAAAAACACAATGTTCAGGGTGTCTAACAGTCTAAGGATATTAGAATATTATATTCCACAACTTTTATTTGAAATGTGATGTTTGCTATTCACTGAGCTACAGCTACCTGTTCCTTTTCTAGGAAGCGCGAGCTTTACTTGGAAGGCTCGAGTATCAAAAGGGTAACATAGAAGCTGCTCTTCATGTTTTTGAAGGAATAGATATTGCTGCTGTAATTTCAAGGATAAAAGCTTCCATTTCAACGAGATATGAACAAAATAGACGCCAATCACAAAGTGACGTTGTGCCTACTATGTCTATGCATGCCATTAGTTTACTTCTTGAAGCTATTTTTCTGAAAGCAAAATCATTACAGGGTTTAGGAAGGTTTGTAGGTATTCCCTCTCCTCTCCCCCCCTGCTTCTATTTTAAATCATTTTTTCTTCTTCAGCCTGTATTCACAATTTTCCCTTTTTGTTGCTATCTACAGAGGCAGCCAAATCATGCAAACTAATTTTAGACACTGTTGAATCTTCATTACCAGAAGGCTTACCAGAAAACTTCGGTGTAGATTGTAAATTGCAAGATACACTAACGAAGGCTGTTGAATTGCTTCCAGAACTGTGGAAATCTGCCGGATTTCCAGGAGAATCTATCGTGTCATATAGGCGTGCTCTTCTCTATCAATGGAATCTGGAAATGGAAACCAGAGCAAAAATAGAAAAAGAGTTTGCAATATTCCTTCTCTATAGTGGTTGTGATGCAAGTCCTCCTAATCTCCGTTCACAGATGGAAAGCTCATTCGTGCCAAGAAATAATATGGAAGAGGCCATTCTTCTGTTAATGGATCTCATGAGAAAATATATACTTGGATTGCTAGTATGGGACCCATCAATACTTGAACATCTCTCATTTGCGCTGTCTATTTCAGGGGAATTTGGAGCTCTAGCTCATGAGGTTGAACGATTGCCTCCAGGAATCATAGGAAGAAAAGAAAAGTACTGCACCCTGGCACTTTGTTACTATGGGGAAGGTAAAAACTTAGTTGCCTTGAATCTTTTGAAGAACTTCTTGAATAACATAGAGAACGTAGACTGCCTACTGGAATTGTTGTTGGCTTCAAAGCTCTGTGGGGAAAATTTGGTTTGTCTTGATGAGGGGGTGAGTTACACTTTGAGAGTGCTTCGGGAGCTGCAGTGTAAATGCATCCAGATGGCTTCTGTTGCTAATTGCTTACTTGGTGTGTTATTGTCAGCTAAATCCAAATTAGTTGCTTCTGATTCCCGGAGAATTTTGAAGCAGTCTGAAGCACTCGAGGCACTACGAACTGCTGAGCAGCTGATGAGAGAAAGAGATCCATTCATTGTATATAATCTTTGCCTTGAATATGCTGAACAGAGGAAGTTGGATATTGCTCTATACTATGCAAAACAGCTAGTGAAACTCGAGGCTGGCTCTAGTCTGAAGTCTTACGTCCTCTTGGCCAGAATATTGTCAGCCCAGAAACGGTTTGTGGATGCAGAGACTGTACTGAGTGCTGCTCTTGAGCAGACTGGGAAATGGGAACAGGGGGAACTCTTGCGAACTAAAGCTAAGCTCCAGATTGCACAGGGTCGATTAAAGAGCGGTATAGAAACATATAGTCATCTTCTTGCTATAATTCAAGTCCGGACCAAAAGTAGTGGGACTGGAAAGATTCTTCCAAAGGTAAAGGACTCAAATTCGTATGGATCAAAGTCTTATTAGATGAGGTCTTAGAGGCGTTCCCCTGTAGTTCTTGTGAAAACTGGATTTTCTTTCGTTATTTAAAATATCTCAGAACGTTTCCCGATTTGGTGCCTTATCGCACTTATTACCCTGACCATAAAGCTGAATTAGTAATTAGTTCATTTATTCAGTTGTTTCACTCACATCCATATTCTTCGTACAGGATATGAGAAAATCTGACCGAAGTCTAGAAACAGAAACATGGCATGACTTGGCTAATATTTACACAAGCTTGTCTCAGTGGCGGGATGCTGAGATCTGTCTATCAAAATTGCAGGCAATCGATCCGTATTCTGCCTCTAAATGGCACTCCACAGGTAAAACATCATTCCCATTTAATGACTCAAATATTTCTCCATCTAAGGCTCACACATTCTGTTAATTTTGGATCAGATGCTTGAACCACATTCTACCATGTTGCTTAGGAAGTTTCTGAGAATTAAACTGATACATAGGGTTACTTCAAGAAAGGACCATAAGCGTATATATAAGATTGTGGCCACTTTGCTCTTCGTTTTCAAGTAAAGGGCGAGTCCCATGTTTGAGTTTATTGAGTTACTTCTTCAGAAAGCATTTAGTTACAATTCTCTTGTGTGGGAGTTTTGGACTTTTATGGGAATCTATCTAGAAATTGCATTGTTTAATTAAATCACACATTCTTACCTGAATGATGAAGTACATATGTTGCATCTTTCAAACTTATTATCAGGATTTACGTTGCCTTGATTGATTGATTAAGAACATCCCCGAGCCTTGATCTCTTTAATATTTGAATTCATAACTTGATGAATCTGCTAGGTTTACTGTATGAGTCAAAAGGTCTCCCACAAGATGCCCTGCAGGCATACAATAAAGCATTGGACATTGATCCTGGCCATGTTCCCAGTTTGATATCCACTGCCTGTCTTCTCCAACGACTAGGTGGCAGTCAGTCATTTCCTGTAGTAAGAAGCTTGTTAACCGACGCCCTTCGACTTGACCGAGCAAACCCATCTGCGTGGCACAATCTCGGGCTGTTATATAAAGCTGATGTTGGGGCATCGGCGCTGGAGGCTGCTGAGTGCTTTGAGGCTGCAACTTTGCTTGAAGAGTCAGCACCAGTTGAACCTTTCAGATGATGAAAACTTGCTTTCTTTGCTTGTCAAGAGAAGTGGGAACTTTCTGTCTTAATTGTTCATTCTAAGGTTTTACTCAAATCTTCATTTGCTTTGCTGCATTTTTTTTTTCAGGATTAGGAACGTTAGTATTAGTTTTTTTTTTTGGGATGAATTAATATTATATGGTTGACACAAAGTAGTGTGTACATAGAAGAGCGAAAATATATAAACTGCTAGTCTTTTAGCCAATCTTCTTGTGTGTGTAATTTTTTTTTTTTTGGACTCTCCCCTTTCTTTCATAGAAATGTAGACATTAGAATTTAGTAGTTCAATCCGTAAAGGGAATTAAGGAAAGCTTATCTCCCAAATTAAAGTTCAATTCAATTGTTGTACCCAATATTACTATTTTTATAAGATAAAATATATTTGCTAAAAAAAATTGAATTATAGAGTGTTACCACATTTTCTTCTAATTACTCCCATCATTGTCTTCAAAATAAGAGAGCATTATAATTAATAACGTAAATAGTAAACACTTGATCAAATTTGTTAAAGCTCGACTCTCATACTCATTTTCATTCACCAGATCCTCTCTCAGTCAGCCATTCTCAATCTCTTTAGACTGATTACTGATTAGAAACGCTCGTAAAACTCACCTTTTAGATTACCAAACTCGTCACGGTAAGACCCAACTTTTCGCCCGATCCTTCTCTCCAGCCATTAGAGACAATTCAAAAAGCTGTGAGGAGTCGGCTTCTTCTTCTTCTAATATAGGCTTCAATAATTTGATCTTTAAAGCTTGCTGTCACTATTTGATAATATTGCAATCGTTGATTTCAGATAACATCAGAGGGGATCTTTGGTTTGTGACAGCAAATGAAGCTAACCTATAGGCCTCTAAAGAAAAGTTTTCTAATACTACAGGAGTGACGTGACAAACAATAAATGGAATGAGTATTCATAGTCCCGTGGTACCCTGAAATTATCCTGGCTTCTAAAGGACCTGGGTTTACTTCTTCGTTGCTTCATCTGCTACAGCACTCTGCAACCCTTCTGGGCTGAAGGATTGTTCTCAAGGGCAAGGCAAGATGCAGAGATCTTTTGACATTAAAATAAACTACGAGGAAGGCCAGCCCGAGTTGATATGAAGCAGAAAATATGAAGCACGAAGAAAATTCCTCACCATACTGACAAAAGCATCAAAATTTAGGCTTTAGAGTTACCTAAAAGTGACACCTTCTCTTTGATCATATTCATGCCTGTCCTTAGAACCTGGTTTTGCTCTGGAGTCTACCTTCTCCCCACACTACAAATCCAGAAATTACTACTCTCTCCATTTTTAATATAATGCCATGTCCATAGAAAACATCATTGCATTACTTAACTGCATACAAGATTTCTGAGCATCTGTTCCATGTAAAATCACTCTGGCTAAACATTAAGCCCAGAAAGGAGGGAGGATGGATCCCAGCTTCATTGGCAAATGGGGGAAAGCAAAGATACAAGAATATCGTGGTCATTAAAAATACACAGATTTACTAACAAGGATAAGCAAAAACATAGCAGGATACAGCATGATCTTGTAATCAGGCGACTCTTTCCCAAATTCTAAGAGTAAAATTTAAAGTCATGAATTACCATATCATTCCTTGCGAAGATCAATTCCGGCCTTCTTAGCAACAGCATCAAGTCCATTTTTCTCAATGGTCTTCAAAGCCTTTGTTGATAATCGTAGTTTTACAAAACGCTTCCCAGCTTCCCACCACACCTTCTTGTATTGAAGATTTACAAACTGCAACTTTTTGGTCTTGTGGTTGGAGAAAGAAACTAAGTTCTTCTTATTTGCTTTCTTTCCAGTAAAGGGACAAACTCTACCTGAAAAACCAAATAACGGAACCAAGTTTGAGATAGTTCCCATTCCCACCATTCAAAGAAAGCAGCCATCAATCAACATTTCAAAGCCAATAGTTAAACAGTGACTAGTATAGCAATTTTAGATAGCCAAATGGAATCAGAATCGGGCGATTTCGATCCCTAATACAAATATAAAAGGGTTCAGATTAAGAATGAGAATAAACACCCAGCTGCTTCCGATCAAATTGCATTTTCAGCCATACAATTAGAGCAGATATAGGGGTCGAATGACCAAATACCAGAAAGCATAATATTAAACAAGAGTTGAAAAGAGGAGATTACGAGCAACGGGTTGAAGTGCGGGTCTGAGAGGAGCAGAAATGGGTGCGGAAGGGATCGGCGAGTTGTTGGAGGAGATTTTGATGCCACCCAATTGAGAAGTGAGAAACCCTAACTCGGAATTTAGTTTAGTTCTGAAGTGAAGTCTAGTCGACGACGCTGCCATGACACCGGAGGTATTCCCCGGCGACAGTCCTAACACAACGGAAGCTGCCATTGTTTTCCGAGTAAAATTTCTGTTATCGTTATCTTGTTCGCTTGGGAGGCCTCTGGTTTTGTTTCAGAAATCAGAAGAAGGGGATAAGCTTTTATTGTTGGGCTGGATACCGCTGTTTGGGCTGAGAATTGAGTGGATTAAGCCCATAAAACTCAAGCTGGGCTGGATTTGTGAAAACAAAGCCCATAAAACACTTTTTTTTTAATTTTGTTTACTTGATAACTAATAACTTCTTGATGTTTTAAATAAAAAAAGAACTCTGAATACTATGTTCAACTGTGAAAAACGAAAACAGATTTCCCTTTTTTTGGTAACAATTCTGATTTCTGAATACCACTTTTTGGGGTTTTTAGATTTTATAAATATTTTTAAATAATTGATTATAAAATAAATTATGAACAACATTTTTAGTTATAATTAAAATAAATAGTATTTGAGATGACCCAACAATTTCACTGGTGAAGTTTCCAGAGTTTCAATGGGCATTTAGGTTGACTTGTGGCTTTTTGCCCAGACATCAGATGGAGGGGGACATTTAATACTTGATGAAAGCTAGATTCTTGGAAAGTTTAGAAATGAAAGCTCAAGACTTTGATTTAAATAGAGTACTTACGTTTTATCTATTAAAAAAACAGGAAAAAAAAGAGCAGTTCGGCTCAATTCCACTGAAACTACAATAAACAGAACAGAGCACCAACAAGCCAACATGGTGCCACAGAATAACTGCGACTCTGTCCAACTTAAAATGTGCACCGTTTTTACCACCAGGCATACTCCATAGAAATTCACTGGAAGACAGAAGACTACGACGGGCAATATAGATTCATCCATGTCTGTCCATTAAACCCAACACGCCACAATAACAAACGGATCACCTAATAAACAGATGATGATTTGTAACTCTTCTACGCAGTAGAATGGAGATTACGGAACAAATAACTTAAGTTTATTGTTTCTAGTTGCAGTAAGTTTCAATTCGGATGGTAAGAGGATTCAAAATTCATTTCCCTTCTAGTTGTATGCACATATTCTTGGCTTCTCAATCGCATCTCACCTCATGTTTTCTCTGCGTCTCACATAGCGGGTCCTGTCATTATACCTTGGTCTATCTTGAGCTCTTTGAGGCTGTGGCTCCACCCTTCTCTGCCTCTCTGGTGATCTTTGAACAATCTCACCATTCACGAACAACTCGGCTGCACCCAACACAATCAGTGGCATTAGCACTATCAAAATTAACTCCTAAAGAGTCAGCAAGTCAATGTAATATGCACACTCAACACCAGACCTTAACCAATCTGGCTATGAGCTCTGCCCCATAAGGGTATAAACAATAGAAATATAATTCACATAAAACTACATTATTTGTTCACAGAAACCGGGAGCTTAACCTCCATAAAACATAAATCAATTTATCAGGCAATGGAAGCTAAGCATTGCAAAGATAGAGTTCAAAACATTACAAGCAAGCTTTGATGTTTCATCTCTACTGATCTGCATCTCCACAAAGTATAAAGAGCACAGAACAGTTAAGAGAGACATTTGCTGTAAGTCCATTAGCATTCAAAACTAAACATTGTCTGGAAGACTGATTTAGGTTTGCCAAGATGGACTATACACATACATTAAGAAACCTCTTGGAAGACAGTCTCTCTTTTTCTTTCAACACGTATCCATACTGTCACAATAAAACTTCCACCTCCAACAACTATATAGGATGTGAGAAAACTATTTGGCATAATTTATTAAGGACTTAAAACTAAGCACTGCAAAGATAGTGTTTCAAAACAAAACATTAATGTTTCATCTCTACTGATCTGCATCTCTACAAAGTAAAAAGAGCACAGAACAGTCAAGAGAGACATTTGTTGTAAGTCCATTAGCATTCAAAACTAAACATTGTCTGGAAGACTAATTTAGGTTTGCCAAGATGGACTATCCACATTCAATAGGTAACCAATTGGAAGGAAGAGCAATCTCCTTTCCTTTTAACACTCTCCCCACTGTCACAATAAAGCTCATTAAATATGAAAGTGGTAAGCAAAGAAACACTTCAAATATATTTCAACAAATAAACACAGATAATGTTTCATCTCCACTGATCTACAACTCCACATTACATCAAAAGCTCAGAACAGTCTAGAGAGACATTTATTATAAGTCCATTAGCATTCAAAACTAAACATTGCCTAATAGACTGATTTAGCTTTGCCAAGATGGACTCTGTATCCAAAATATCCTGTTCAAATCCACAAATCATGTTTCCCACACTTCTTTCAGCTGTCATGAGAATTTTTTCATGTAGAATGAACATGAAAATACTAAAGATGGTAGGTAGTCATTATGCATATCTGTGCATAAATGTTTCATCTCTACTGACCTGCATCTCCACAAAGCATACAAAGTACAGGACAGTCAAGAGAGACATTAGTTATAAGTCCATTAGCATTCAAAACTAAACATTGTCTAAGGACTGGTTTAGCTTTGCCAAGATGGACTTTAGGTCGTCTACAGATGATTTCACCATCAATGTCCATGCCTATAAACAGAATGCTATAACAAAGCAAATCCAAATGGGCGTCAGTGTACTATGACCTAGAATAGGATCATGCTTTCATCTCTCCATAAGTCCATCAAACAAAGCCCGCAATTGCCTCATAGGCTTTTTTGGCTTTGCCAAGATAGACTTCCTATATATCAATCTCATAATATGTCATGAACTCTTTGATTGATTATAGACTCAATACCAAAATATACATTTAAAGCTTCAGATACTTACCCCCATAATCTTTATACTCAGGATCGACATAAGAATCAGGTAGAACAAACAGCACACCAGGCACGCCTGTAGAGAAAGTGAACAAAATTCATTAAATACAACCATCACATTTAAATATGCGAAGTATAAATGCCTTGGAAAAAGATGGCTTGTAAAGGCACAAGAAGCCAAAAGGTGAAGGTAATAGATCAAAACCCATACCTTCTAGCTTATTGGAGGTCTCTTCATCGATCTCGCACCCAAATCCAAAGTACCTCTCACAGGAAACATTGTAAATCTTCTTCTTCGCTTCCTCTTCGCTGGTCAAAACACAAAAACAGGAACGAAATCAAACAAGAAACCAACAAATAGGGCAAACAAATTCAGAAAAAAATTAATCTGGTCTCAAGTACCTGCCAACAACTTTAGCGAGGGTCTGGATGTAGCAGTCAATCATCTGCTGCTTGGTGGCACCCTCACCGCCAGGCTTGTCCATGACTATAAGCCAGTGCTCATAGTCGCAGCCAGGGAAAAGCGGAGCCATTTCAGTGGGTGGACGATCGCTGAAGTTCGAGTTGGAGTTAAGAGGCGAATACCCCGAGTTGCCCGACCTATTGACTCGGCAACGAATCGGCGTGAACCTGGAGGCGGAGGGGATAGATCGAACGGCATGGGAAAGCGGAGGGAGAGATCGACGGCCGAGAGTGAGAGTTGGGGGCGAAGGAGGACGCGTGAGTGTAGTTGAGGAAGATAAGAGACGTTTGGGAAGAAGAGAGAGGCGGGCGGTGGAGGTGGAGGCGGAGGCGGAGGCCATGGCTCGAAGTAGGGATAACGCCATAGCAGGCGACAGAAAAAGGGTTTATAGCGATGAAATGTGGATATGTGGAAGACGATGGAGGCTTCAAGGGTTTTAATAGCAGAAGGGTCTGTGCAGGGCGTTCTTTTACTGGGCCTGTCCTTTTGTCTATTTACGGCCCATTATTGAAATTTTATTGTTTATTTTTTAATTATTTTTTTAGTTGCTTATAATTCATCTAAAAGTTTTAGTTACTTATAATTTGTTAATTTTTTAGTTACTTCCAAATTTTGTATTAATTAATTAATCGATCTAAAAAATATTAGATCCACTATAATTCTTTAATATTTTTGACCAACCGAATATAGTTAGTTGTAAATGGTATATACTAAAAAAATCTCCTTACCCTTGATGTACTAAAAAAATCCTCAGAGATTTTCAAATCTCCTTACCCTTGATGTACTAAAAAAATTGTGAACATTCTCAATAAGTAAGGATAATTCATTTGTTATTATTTTTTTTTTTTTACAAGGATAATTCATATAGTATGATATAAAGACTAGCTCAAACTGACATGGTTAACTTTGCTCAAAATAAAAATGGAAAACTATATCTTAAAAATAGTAGGCCATTTACTCTTATTTTGAGTTTTTACACAAATTAAACAACCCTCAAAAGTCCACAGGTCTATGAAAAATGGTATGTTGTTTACTTTTTATTATGCCAAAATCATTATCATTTTGGTCTTTGATGAATAAAAAGAGATCTATTCATCATTTCTTTCAACTATTGAACATACCTAAGTGATAATTGACACCTACTCATAGTTCATATAGTATGGTATTTTAAGTTGTTCAAATCTATAACCTAAACTAATTATTCATCCAAGATTCAAATCCTCCATGTAAAATCAAACTAGAAACTTGTCACAGTCATTGTCAATGTAAAATCTAACTCTGAGAAACATAACTCTGAGGAATTTATCACCACCACGTCTGTCCAATGTCCATAGCTTGCTTTATGACAATTCATAAGAAAAATTAGAGAAGCAAACAACAAATTTTAAACCTAGTATAAAGATAATTGCATGTCTATGTCCTGATAGACAATCAATTCAAGATATTCCAAGACATATCATCACCAAGCAGCCATGAAATTATCTAGGACTAGGACAAACTTGATCATGACATGATCCACATACAAGACTTGAATGCCAAGAGAACACTAGCTACGAAGCTTTCTTTCATACACAATAACAAGCAGCTTCAATCTTGTCAATACGATTTTCAAAATAAAGAGATGCAAAGCAATTACACTGCAGGGAGAAAAAGATCAAATTCCCGTAGCAACCATACTGCAAACTTTTGAATCTCGTTCAGCTTCCCTGCGGCGGTTGTCTGGAAGCCATGTGCTCCACCTTCTACAGATTCACATCAACAGAAAGATGGGTTACTTTTGCAAGAGAATCCATGAAAGGTTAACAAGGTCCAGGATTTTTATGTCATTCGTTTTCGTTTCTTTCATGACAAAATTAACTGTAAACGGTAATGGATGTGGAAAGGCTAACTAACCTGCTCGGTGTATGGCAAATATTTACCATCAAATGTTATCACGACACGGTCCTTCCCATCAACACCCTTGACCTTGTCGACTGAGCAGTAGAAGTCTATAGCTGACATACTAACAAATAAAAATTAGACCTTCACATAATCACATTAGCTTCTCTAATCAACAGGGTCTCAACCACTGGAAAAATAACAGAGTTGGTTGGTTTTTACTGCAAGGTGTCATCTTAACTGAAGGATACTGGGTTGTTAAAGCGTTTGGGCTTAAGAACATAATATGAATGATTAAAGATTCTTATTTGACGCATTGGATATGGACAAGGAATTAAAGGAAAACTTGACTTGTAGTTGTAATTGCTTATGTGAGAAGTTGAGACACAAGTTTCATATGATAAATGGCACAATGTTTAATATGAGCTCCACAGCTATAATATCATCTTTCAGTAACTTCCGGGTTTCTGACCAATATCAAGGAAACTCCTGTACTTCCACATCATTAAAGAAAAATAACCTGCAACATTATCCTAACCTTCGTTGCACCATTACATTTCTCAATGTGTTTGCTGCACAACCACCAGGGCAAAAACTGATACAACCTACTTTTATAGAAATGTTTACATTGCTGTATGAGTTGAAGGGTCTGAAATCCTTGTAGTATAAATAGTTTTCCTAATGAAGAATTATTGAAAACTAAAAAGGTTCCATGAAATTGGTTTTTGAACTCCTAGCATGTTGAAAGCTAAAACTCAAAGCATGTTTTATTTTTGTTGAAATTCGATCTAAATTCTATAAAAGTGGTTTTAGATAGTTGGAACTTAAAACAGAAATTATTATAAACAACCTTGTTAAAACAAAGAAGTTATCAAACGAGGAATTGAATTCATTTTGATTTTAAGACATACTTGCAAATGTTAAAGAACCGTAATGGCTTTCACGTTGCAAAGAAGAAAACATTAAACCAAACCGACTTACATTCCGTCGCCAAAATCCTCGTTAATAATTTCCTTGATGCTCTCGCCAAAATGCATAACTGCTTCATTCAATCTACATCCATGGAAGTCCCGATTCAGTACAACAAACGAGCAAGTCCACTAAAATTAAGCTCAATAAACCGACCAATTTTGCCACAAGCATTTGCAGTAGCTATTCATATAGCAATACAACAAATCGAGGAATTAAAATTTCAATCAGTCAGTCTGTCGACGTTCTTGAAACTATCCTTACTCGTTATGAACTGAGCTAAAGTAACCAAGGAAACAATTAACCGCATGCTTCAACTACCAGATTTCCCCCAAACCAAAAGCGATTAAAAATCCACAACGAACTTGATAAGAAGAATGGATAAAGCTTAAGAAAAAAACAATTAAGTGATGACCCACCTGTAAATTGTAGGTTCTTGGATCAAACAAGGGTCGTAGCACCTCATTGGCGGCCGCAT